TAAACCATGCTATGACACATTTTACTGCCCTACAATAAACTACCAAAGGCCAGTGTAGCTGAGCAGAAAAACAGGAATCAGATTGTAAAATTCCCTAAATAGGAGGAAAGGTGCACTGGATTTTGAAGGGGAGAAGCTGATTAGACAGGGTACCCTGGTCAACTCTTGAAAAGGTGCTTTCATGGTTGTTGTTTGCTACATGTGTACAGATATGTTAGATATATATTTATTTAAAGAATACAAATGACAGTTTTAAAAGAAATATATGTTTACTTTAACTAGGTAGAAGTTGAGAAGTAAAAGTAAAAAATGCAAATGTGACAACTCAGAGGCTTAGTGGTTAGCAACTCTGCCTTGGTTTAATCCCAGACAACACACTATCTGTATGGAGTTTGCATGTTCTCCCTGTGCTTGCATGGGTCTCAGCCTACACTCCAAAGACATGTTGATCGGTTAATTGGCTCCCGCCAATTAAAGTGACACTAAACTCAGGAGTTACATCTTAAAAATGCCTTCAGGTACCTTAACTAGTAACAAAAATGTATCACTCAGCTGTAGATCCTCAAATCATCTCTGAATTGGTGCGGACACTCCTTCCTATTGGAGGGTGGCTACTTGTGTAACACCATGGTCCCTGTGTGTGTTGTCAAGTAGCCACTGCTCCAAGGTTAATCCTGTGATGAACTACAATCTTATGATTAGTTTACCAGTTTGTATTGAGATTGTAGTCCATCACAGGAACGACCACAGGGAACAAGTAGCCACCCTCCAGAAAGAAGCACAATGTCAGCACCAATTTAGAGATGATTTGATTACAGCCAAATGATACCCAAATAAGCTGCATTTTTAATTAGGGTACTTGAATGCATATTTAGGTTTTACTTGTTGAGTTTAGTGTCACTTTAAAATGGTCCTAGTGTGTCTATGAATGTGAGCTAGAGACCTTAGATTTTAAGCTCTTTCAGGGTAGGTGTTGATACGAATGCATAGTATGTAAAAGCCCCATGTATATTGTCTGCCTTATATAAATCCTGTAATGAATAAATAAATTGTCATATTGCATTCTCAAATGATACAAAAATGATTGATTATGTTGCTGGAATCAGCATGCTGATCTCACTTTATCGTTTGTAATGTTCTAATCAGATATTTTCCCATATTAATGACAGACACCAAATTACAACTTTTATTATATTTATTGATTTATTTTTAAACAGAAAGACAAATGGAGGCATTACAACGCATCCTGAATGGAAAACATTGAATCAAATGTAGTAAACAGAAAAGTGAGACCAAAGAAAGTGCCTTAAGAGGAAATTAAAGATTTAATGAGTATGGGAAAATAAATTAAATATATTTTTCTTTACACCTATTTAAAATGTATTATATCTGTTCTTAAAGCGGATCTACTGTTGAAATGTGAACAATCTAATATTGATCCTACAGCTTGAATACAATTCTATATTGCAGTATAGTTGCTAACACACATACCTTTTATGAAAGTATGACATTTTCCTCTTATTTCCCTGTGTATGCATTGTTGTAATAAAAGCTATTGCACTGAACTGCATGTGACCACTAACAGCCAGGAGTCTGTCATGCAAATTGGTAGTTTGTTCGTTTCTCTCTGGGTGATTTATTCCTCTCCGGATGATCTATATACATTGCAAGGATTGTAATAAACTTTGTAGCATTTTCCTATCTGTTTCTGTTTTGAAAAAGCTTTTTGTTGCAGCATGTCCTTTCCAAACTGATTTGTCATTATAATCAGCTGGTGGACTTTCTGCGTTGTAATGAGGAAAGGTGCAGTGTTTGCATCCATTTAGTAGAAATTAAACCTTATGGAGTATCTCACCAAAAATGACATTTCTTTTGCAAGGGATGCCAAAAAAGATCAGTCACCCAATCCCAGAAGCAAGAAGTGACATTTCTGGGTGCGTTCCATACACGATCTATTTATGAAATGCATCCAGGTCACCGTCTTGCATTGAATTTTTCAACAGATTTAGAACATTACAGCAGCTACAGTTTTAAATGGAAAGGTATTTTTAATAACAAACTACAAAATGGCTTGTGGGACAATTATACATTGTATATTTTTATAAATTCTTTATTAGTTCAGGTTAACAGATTATTTGTTGTATATAGAAAAACGGAAACTGTGCCCGTGGGGACTCGCAAGTCCGGGCGCATATGGTATACATACATCAAAACATCATCAAGAAGGTAGCATACATGGTATATTGAAGCATGAGAGAACCCCTTTGGCGTCAATGGAACGCATTTGAGGGGAGGGAACCCTCTCGCGACCCCGGCCTAAGTCTGGGGGGTACAGTCATGGGATGTTGCTGATGTTACCACGTTGACGGGAGAGAAGAAGGAGGAATGTAGTATAAACAGAGGGTGGAGAACACAAGACAAGAGAGGGGGGGGGTAAGGGGGGCTGAAATGGAGAAGGATGGGTAAGTCGCTACATGTCATCGCCATAAGTTTGGAATCAAGGATCGTGCGGTATTCCGAGGTAGAGGTATAGTCTATCCAGTAAAACCATGCGGCTGAGAATTTGGAGGAGGTGCTTTGGATGGAGCTGGTGAGGTCCTCCATGAGTCTGATGTCGTTTATTTTGGAAAACCAAAGCTTGACCGAGGGCGGGGTTACCTGTTTCCAGAGTAATGGGATGCAAGCTCGAGCAGCGTTCAGTAAGTGGATAAGAACCGATCTAGAGTAACTCTTAGGCGAGAATTGGTTATGATGGAGAAGGAAGAAGGCCGGATCCATTGGGACGGTGTGGTCTGTGAATTTTTGGGCAATCTCACGGACCCGGGACCAAAAAGGGTTCACAAGGGGGCATGACCAAAAAATGTGGAGCATGTCTGCGGGGGATGAGCCGCAGTGCCAGCATGTGTCTGGTATTTCGTGGAGTTTATGGGGGGTTCTGTACCAGCGCGTGAGGATTTTGTAGCCCAGCTCCTGATATTTGTTGCAGATGGATGACCTCAGGGAGTATTGCAGCAATCTGTCTCTCTCAGTCTGTGAGAAGTGGATCTCTAATTCCCGCTCCCATTGGTCTAGAAAGTATAGTGGGGGGTCTAGGTCGATGTTGAGAGCCATCTGGTAACAAAGAGATAGCGTTTTCGCTATTGGACCTGTGTCAGAGCAAGTTTGTTCGAAGGTGGAGAGGCTCCGCTAGTAGGTTGAGGGCGTCGGGAGGGATGTCAGGAAGTGAGTGAGTTGTAGGCATCTCCATGTTCCCAAGTTCCGCAGATCAGGGTCTGTGGAGTGGGCACCGATCGTCTGCCAAGATGGGCCGTTCAAAAAATTTAATTAAACCCTGAATTTGCCCCGATCCAGGAGACGGCGGAATAAGCCATCTTCCAAGCCTGGGGGGAATCCGGGGTGACCTATGATAGGTTGCATGGGCGACGGCTGTACAGACAATGCCAACCTAGGAAATGCCCGACTTGTCACCCGCCACGTGGAACCCACCGTCGGGTGGGATCTAACAGACCTGGGAACTGGACCGCTGCACCACGGCAAGACTGGTAGAGGAATGTCAGTTGTAGCTTGTTCAAGCTCAATCCATGGCTTGACGTCACCATGGCGGCACCAGTCAATCACTCGGGATAAGTGAGATGCTATGTAGTAGAGATGGAAGTCAGGTAGGGCCAGCCCTCCCGCCGCCTTCGGGCGTCGCAGGATCGGTAGTCTCAGTCTAGGGATTTTACCGGCCCAGATGAAATCAGAAACCAATTTTTGCAGTGAACGGAAGAACGCGCGTGGGATCTGTACTGGGAGGGTCTGGAAGGGGTATAGGAGCCGTGGGAGGATATTCTGCTTAATGATGTTACAGCGCCCTGTCCAGGAGAACGTGGAACGGGACCATCCTTGGAGGTCTGTCTTGACTTTTTGCAGTAATGGGGGGAAATTTAGGTTGTACACGTCAGTCAGGTTCCGAGGTATGAGAACCCCTAAGTATTTAATTGATGTGGAAGACCACTGGTAGGGGAAGTTTTGCGAGAGTCGTGACAGCATGGGAGGTGGGATCGTAAGGTTAAGGGCTGCCGACTTCTGGGTGTTAATATGGTAGTTGGATACCTCCCCATACTGTTGTAGAGCCGCAAGTAGGTTGGGTATGGTTGTATCTGGGGTCGTTAAGAAAAATCGTAAGTCGTCGGCGAATGCTGCAACCTTGTGCGTGGTCTTCCCCGCCCGCAGGCCCTGGATGTTAGGGTTGGCTCTGATGGTCCGGAGTAGGGGTTCAAGGGTCAGGATAAAAATGAGGGAACGGGGTCGTCAACATTCCGTTAACGTACACTCTGGCCGTTGGATGGGAGTACAAGGCCAACACCCACGCGAGCATGCCCAGACCCAACCCAACATGTTCCATGGTGAGTCGGAGAACGGACCAGTCAACCCTGTCGAAGGCCTTCTCTGCGTCCGTGGACAAAATTAAGCTCGGGATGGCCGTCGACATGGCCGAGTGTATAACATTAAGGACTAGGGTGGTGTTGTCCCTGGCCTCTCTGGAGGGAACGAACCCAGCCTGGTCTGTGTGGACCAAGGAGGGGACATGGGGAAGCAGTCGCATGGATAGGACTTTAGCCAGTAGCTTGGTGTCCACATTCAATAAAGATATCGGCCGGTAGCTGGGATAGGCCGCTGAGTGGAAGGAGTAATCCCTAGTGTCGGGGTGATGAATGCGCCAAATATCGGAAAGCTGATGGGTATGGAGGCATTTTTTAAGGCGTCTCAGCGCCGCAAACGGCAGGTTAGAGGACTGGTTAGTAGAGTCAGCTAGATGGTCTAGGTGTAGGTTGAAGTCTCCCCCTATCACAAGAATGCCCTTCCGAAAGTCATCCACCCGCAACAGAACCCGCTCCAGGAAAGTCAATACATGGTATATTAAGTTTTTAAAATATTTTTTTAAAGTGGGGTTACCCTTTTAAAGCAAAGTTCTCAGAAGCAAACTGAAAATGCTCTGTACTAGTAATTGGGCTTTCACATCCTCATAGAAATATATATAGCTAGTGTACCATAAAAATATAAAATATAGTACGCAGTTTACATCTGATATATTATGCTATTAAGGAAAGCTGATCTTTTATTAAAACATTTACATGTAATAGAAGAATGCAGTCAAAATATATGATCAATTTGCTAATTTTTACCAGTAGATTATTAAAATTTAACAATGCTAATTTGCTCTTTCAAAACAAATTTTGGTTTTGATGATCATATTAGTCAGTCTCATCAATTCAGTAGAGGTACATATAGAACCTTATATTAAATTTGATGCACTCTTAAGATCATTATTTTCTTTTTTGGCTTTACCTTAGAGTTAACATTTTAGAGATCTAGTTAGATACTTTGAATAAAGGTGAATCTGCACGCTAATATGAAGAGAGGTGCAGTTTTAGTGTTAAGAATAGAAAGTTAGTACACTCTTGTGATTTCCTCTAACCAGTAGCACAGGGGGAAGATTTTTTGAGAGAATTTCCACCCATGCCATATAAAGGTGGTCTGATACGGTTCCTTTTCTTGCAACTGGAAGGCTCCTGTCAATAAGAAAAACAAGTATCTTGGTCATTAATCTACCTCTACCATTTCTGCAGGAGCAAACAGGGGGTTCCACAAAATCGCCAACCAAGATTTGTGGCAGCACACAGGCCATTTAACGTGTCATTATTAAAAGTAAATATTTATGTCTGCCTTGACACTAGCAAATAAAAGCAACCTAACAAAGGTTTAACCCTTTTGCTGCCTTAGCAGTTTTTGTTTTGCACACATGTTAAATAGATTTTAGGCCAGATCATGACTTAACACCCCACATAATAATGTATTTCCTGACAGCAGAGACGTTGTAGAATAAAATGGTGGTAGTTGTCAATTTTTATGTCACATGATATTAGTGCAGCTCTTTATCAAACCCAAAATTTCCATAGGAAATACAATTAAATTAATTTAAGTGCACAAAAATGCAATATATTACCCATTTTTATTGTAAAATATAAAAGAGGAGGTTGTGTCGAATAAATAGAGACCCAACATGTCAAGCTTAAAAATTGTGTGCACCCACGAAATGGTGAAAAACTACGGTACTCCAAATTGTCCATAAGCAACGCTTTAAAAGCCAGTACAGGTTTTCAGTGTAGAGTTGACCATGAATAATGTCCTTAGTATTGCTAAGTATTGCTCTCACTCTGGTGCATGCGGCAATACCTAACACATGTGGCGCAATTGTTTTCGTATATACGTACATCTGATGCGTGTTTGCATTTGTATATGTGTGTTTGCAGGGACCGGGACTTTAAAAACATTTTCAGGGTTATTCACAAAAGGGTGAAGAGTTTTGAGAAGGCAGGAGAAGTGAACAACCTAGGCCAAAATAGCTGATTTGCAAAAATTCTCCAATTCAGTTCACTTTCCAGTTCAGCTATGTTGTCCTAGATTGTTCACTTCTCCTGCCTTCTCCAAACTCTTCACCCTTTTGTGAATAGCCTTGTGAGTGTTTTGCGGGGACAGGGACTTTAAAAACATTGAGTGTTTGTAATTTTATTTAACTTAATTTGTTTACATTTTCTTTTTACTTGATTGCTATCACATAGAGGGGCTCACAAGCCCCCTATGTAACAGCAATTTAGTGGTAACAGGTGCTCTTTAAGAAGACATTAGGGGGCCTGAAGCTAATCAAGTGCAGATCATACTTGATCAGCTTCAACTCAGAAACAGGAAGTAATGAAATCATCTTTGCTTCTGGTTTCATTCAGTGGGGAGGAGACCAGCAAATGGATGTTCACTGGTATCGCACCCCACTACCCACAAACAACCGTGAGGATTGTGTTTATATGGGCCTACTGCTGCTGACGTATATCATACCTTAGTGGCAGCAAAATAATTAAAGTTTAACTGGAGCCAAAACTTTTTATTTTAGTTTTAAATAGAGTGGAGAGGGATTCGCAGTCAGGGATTTACTGCTGTCTGTGTCCCTCTCTATTTGTTCTGGTGACTGTTATCACTAAAAATAAAGAAAATCCCAAATTTTAGGTTGTCATCAGAACAGGAATACATTCGAAATCTTCCAATGAGGACACTAGTTCTGGTGACTCTGCTGACCGCCAGGGATTTCCCTCTCTTTGGAGGGATTTCCCCTCACTTCCTCTTGTGGCTACCAGACAGGAAGTGAAGGGAAAGCTATTGTAAAAAAAAAAGTTGGGGTTATAACCCATTTTACTCTATTCAAAGGTAAACACATTTTTTGGCTTCAGTTCTACTTTAAAAGAAACCCCCTTTGTGATAGACAATTCACATAACAAGCCCTCTTTATGGAGACATCAGGGGTCTCTAAGACCCCTAATGTCACCTAAGGACCCCCAGAGAAGCTGATGAAGCAGAGATCTGCTTCATCAGCTTCTCGCCATCATCTGTGACAGGAGAGTGACACTGAATGCAGGAAGTGATGTAATATACATCAATTCCTGCATTTGGGGACCGTATAGGAGATCAAAGGGAGATTGTGTACTGATCTCCCTTTGATCTCGACTTTACATTTCTGACAGTTTCCCCACACTCGTGTGCGCGCTGGGCACCGTACACGAGTGTGGGGAGAGGAAGGACGTCTTAAGACGCCCTCCTGCTCCTATAAGGCTCCCGTCCCGTCAGGAACGGCCATGGATGGGAGGTGGTTAAAATTGTTAATAACAAAAGTGCTCAGAGCTCTAACTTTTCAAACTTGCATGTGCTCGCCATCATTTGATGACCGAAGACTGATCCCAGTAGAATTCAATATATATTATACTTACAAAAGAATGAGGTTTGCAGATCGAGAATGTTCTTGTAGAAGTTCATTAAGCCTTACTTGTCTGTAACTCTGCAAGTGAAGAAAGACATTTAATAAAACTGACCACTTCATAAATGTGACACATAGTTTTATAGTGTTCCTGCTAATGTAAAATTAGTTGTGTCCATATACTGTAATAAGATGTGCAGGTTAAGATCTTACTATCCACCATTTTTGCCAAATGATCTGCACACAATAAAGGAACAGAGAGAGCTCAGAAACAATAAGTGTTTTGCTTATCTAAGGGCTTCTTCATACCATAATACATTATAATGCACATCACAAGAGCATTAAATTGCTGGTTTTTGCAATGCATGACAATGCACTGTAGATGTGGGGTGTCTTGTGACACAAAATTAACTGCACCTAACAAACATCTGCAGGGTGTTGCATCCTGACATCAACGTATAGCTGCATATGCTCTGTGAATTGCCCGTGCTGAACAAAATTGGCATTTTAAAGAAGTACATAACAAAGACCCGTCGGTTATGACATTTTATGGAGTGGATAGAAGATATGGCCATTGGAGGGGCACTAATAAAACTCGGATGATTTCCAGAAAGGAAACTAAATGGATTTTTCTTTTAGACACATTGAAACCTAGAGGGTTAAACATTGAGTTGGATATTAATTGTTTTATTAGTAATAGTTAATTATAATGTATTATTATGAGGAGTACAATTCCTTTTATTTATAAAAGTTGATTTTAATTAATGTATTACTATAGGTGGCTGCAATTTTATTTGCATTTTTATTTCCATTGCTATTAAAAAGATATATATGGGAGGAAGACTGGGAAAGGGCTATTATGTGGGTTGAATTAGAGCAATCAATCTACTGAGTATGGGTACGATTGATTGAAGGGGTGGGACTGACATGTAGTGATTTGCTTTTGCATTTGGAATGGATATAAAAGACAGGTATAGACAGCGTGCTCGTCCCTCTTGATAAAGTCGTTGGTGACGAAACATGTCGAGTACGAGCGCGCTAGCTATCTACCTGTCATTGATTTGAATGATACACCTGATGGTGGTATTCTGAAAACCGGAGAGGTGAAAAAAGTATTTGCAAAGACTGAGACGTGCTTTTTTTGGACATCGGTGGCTTACATTAGTTGTCATGTAAGTTTTTTATTGGTGTTTGCGCAATAAATGTATCCAAGGAGTTTATGCTATGTGCAGTGTCTTTTGCATATTTGAATAATCTAGCCTTAGATTGATATAATAACCAGGGGATAAGGAGATTATCTATATAGGGAGAGGAGACGATAAAACAAATTGAAAAGAAAGGAGTATAAAAGTGAAATCTGAAAAAAATCTTATTATCAGGGAAATAGGATGCGGAGGAGACATTGTAATAATCGTTTGTATTAAAGGCAGAATCTGGTGAGTGGACAAAAGAGATTGATTGCACGAAGGTGGAACACAGAGATAAAGGGGGTGATTTACTAACCTAAACACACGCACGCACTAGGTGTGTGTGATTTTCACACAGCAAAACATATTTATCAACTAAAAAGTCTCTAAAAGCATATTTCCACTAATGCCATATATGGAAAAATCATGCACATGATGCATATATAATGCTGCTTCACAGTTTACACAACAATGGTTAGCTCATGCATTTACAGTCCTGCATTCATCAACGCAAGCAACACAATGTAGAGCTAATTTACACAACATCACCTTGCAATTCATGCAGGGCTTTGCACAACACACCTGCTGGGTGTGTACACACTACAAAGGTGTCTAGATTCCACCAATAGATCATGCTGGGAGGGAACACACTACAGAGGTGTATACTTGTTCGTGGTGTGTTTATAAGGCTAGTAAATTAACCCCAAAAGAGTACTTATTTTGGTATCAATTGATCCATATTACTATTTTGATGAACTTTAACACTATATGGAATTTTCTTCCTTTTTTCTTTCTTTTTTTTTAAATTTCACTATTGAATTTATGGAATTTGTCTTTTTGATAAATCTTTCTGATTTTATTTCACCGATATATTGATTGTGTGTTATATAAAATTCAATGTTATTTTAGTTGTCACTTTCCTTTGCTGATCAGTTGGCGGTAGGTGTAGATATACACATAGGCAGATAGAGCAGGTTTATTTTGGACACTTAACAGCTTTGATATCAACCCAGGCATGGGAATTTTTCAATGAAATAGAACGAACAAAGGTGGCATTTCCAGATGTTATTACATTTTACAAGACAAAAATGTATTTACTAAACTACCTCATATGTGCAAATGGGGGGCAGACGTATTTCTTTCACAACCCAATAATGGAAAAAAGCGTCCAGAGCCAATGCAAAGATCTTTGGGAAGTCTCCCAAAAGATCCTTTCAAGATGTTATCGTACTCCACCTTGATTGTCCAAAATGTTCCCTTCTTCGTCCCCAGTATGTTGGCGGAACTATTGTCAAACTGGCCATATTTTGCACAATTGTTTGGTCATGCAAAAGTCTGACAAGCTTTTGGCATTCTATTTTTCATCTAATGGCTTCTTTCTCAGTCCATTTAATCTCACCAAAACCTCAACTGGCATTATTGAGTATTGGTATAGATAAATATCCTTCTACACAAAAATCCATCATTATGCATATTCTTTTCGCAGACAGACTCCTTATAGCTAAATATTGGAAATCTTCTGATGTTCCATCTATCCTGGAACTCCTCAATAAAGTCGCTAACCAATGCACATATGAGCGATTAATATCACGTAGACTAAATTCTCACCATTTATTCCTACATAGATGGAGCTTGTGGATCTCTTTTTCGTCTAAATGACACTTACGTGTAGATCTCTGTCTTTATTGTTTTTCTTGTATTATCGCTTTCTTTTTCTTGGGCCATCCAGAGCTAGTATTAGAACTAGATTTAGATTCCCATCCATTTCCTCTATATTGTCTTCTCTCCTTTTCCTGTCTCCTTCCAACTTCTTCCTTTCCTTCCACCTTTTCTCTCCTTCCACCCTTCCTTTTCTCCATCCTCCTATCTTCTTGTTCTTTCCTCTAAAATGTTTTACTTACTTCATCCTTCCTCCCTCCCTCGGGCCTCTTATGTTTTTACTTCTTCATGAGGAACTATAGGACTAGGTGTTTATTTGTCTTGATTTGTACATTTCTAGTTATTAGTATGTATGTTTACTCTTTTGTTCTGTTTTTCTTCCATATGTATTATGGCAGGTTATCATATGCCTGTTCAAGCTGTAACTTTCTTTTATATTTGATAAAAATCTAAAGTTTGAAAAAATAAATAAAATCTACTAATACATTTGACAAATGAGCAAAGACTTCTGCTGACAGTGGAGACAGTACGGGTAGTATTTGGTGCCAGTTAGATAAGAAATTTAGGGTTAATATCCCCTCCCTTCTTCACCTTTTGAGTACTCCCCTGCTACTTTGGTCACCTACTGTGAAAACAATACCTATACATTCTGCGTATTACAGACTGTATGACATTCTCCGCTTCTGCTAGTGCAACAGCGGGTGCTTGAGCAGCCAACTTTCAGGCCCAAGCGTTATCAGATGGCAACGAGGTGAGAGTCCTTAGCTTTGACCAGACCAGCTTTTAGTTTACATGGGGCTTTTTTGCTTTCCTCAAGCAGTCAGCGTGGCGGACGTGCAAAGGGACAGTGAATATAGGCCGTGCATGGGGGCAGGCATTGACAAGGTATAGCTTCACTTTATGGTTAGTGTGAGGGCTTAGGAGTTCACGGAGGCCCTGTCACCAACCTACAAAACTTGCACGTAAAAGCACAGAAAAATCAAGTTTTTAAAATGTTTACTTGCTGTGTTTTCTTTTTTATAAATTGTTTTTACTTCTTTTTAATGTGACTTTGAACTTGCTAGAAAATGTGACTGCTCTTGAAAGAGTAAATTTCCTAGCACAGCCCCCCCCCACTTCTTGTTTGTCATAGCCCTCTCTTCTTCTTGATTTCATCTCTGTGCTGGCCCAGCTGCTCTCCCCATCAGTTAATCCACCTAAATAAAACGTTTATTTAGCTCCTAGGGAAGGAGCGAAGGGAAATACTATAAAGTGTAATTCAAGTAACAGCTCTAAGTCTGCTGAGGGTTGCCGATATCACATCCAAGATGGTGGTACCCAGCAACAGTCTCAGGGATTTTGAATGTCTGGAAGCACAAGAAAGGCTTCTACAGACAAATAACATGCATTAAATACGTAAACTGCATATACATATAATCTTATGGGAATATTTTTGTTGAAGAGTGTGGTCTGGGAACAGGGTCTCTATAAAGGCTGATGTTGGGTTAGACTTTTAGGGGCACTTTTAAGTGTTGCAGTTAATTGTGGATTTAAAGAATACTGTTATGTCTTAGGGTTAGTGTGAAGTTTAGGATAAAGTGTTAGTGTCAAGGAATGGTTTAGTTTAGTTGGAGGCTAACCTTTAAGCCATTGTTTTAGGGGTTGGGTTAAGCTTTAGTGGGGGTGCCTTGGTCACAGTAAGGCTCACGTTAGGGGTCAGGGCATGAGGAAAACTTTTTTTATTACTATTTTTGGTGTTCAAATCATCACGCCAAACATTAGTAGAAACAAGTTCTTCTAGGCCGAACATAGGGTACCAACAAAGGAATATAAAATGTGTGTATCTGTACAGAACTGGAGTTAATTGGAATTTTGTACTGTGCCAGAATTATTGGTGGGAAATTGTCTCTCAATGCAAACTTTTACCTTCCCTCAGGTAAATGTTATCATACAATTGTTGTGTTCGTTAGGATATATCTAACAGCCTGCCATTGAAAACAGAGGAAATTAGAGTTATCTGTTATTTTGTGACACATAATAGTCGAGTACCTTCTCTCTGAACATTTCAATCTCAGAATCAGTTATTTTCCATGGGTTTTCTCTTCTTATTTTCTCAGCAGTGGGTACATCTTTGGCACTTTCATTGAGTCTGTAGGGTTCAATCATCTCTTCAAAAAACTTCCAGCTTCAAAATATGAACAAAAGACTGTTAAATGGAGGCCTTCTGGCGTATCTAGCTTTTTTGCAGTATGCCTTATGACATTTTGCATGAGAAAACAAATTACCAGAATTATCAGAAAATGAAAAAAAAACCTGCAATCACATCATAAACTGATGCTTTTCTGGAGGTTGTTAGAAATGGTTTGCTATTAAGGAAACAAAACATATATATTTTCATACAGCTATCCATAAATTTGCAAATGACAAGATGCACTTGGTAGTATACAGATGGAAAAATACAGCAAAGGATGATGAATATTTCAAATATAAATGTCACATGGGGAAACAATGTCATGCAGAAGGCAAGGAAACACTTAAAATGTTTTTGACACAAAAGCATACAATCAAAAATGTTTAGCTATTACTATGTGATTATTATGGTTTATTTGTGCTGGTTGAAATGCTCCTCTCATTTGCAGCCACGGTTAATGATCACATCACTAGAGCTAATGGTTTTAACTCTGACAGCAGTAAAAACTGAGTTCTAAGCTGAGTTCTGTAGACAGAAGTTACAAAGAGATCTGACAGGTAAAAATTTTTTTTTCCTTCAAACACATAGTCCATCTTTTACTCTACAGTACAAGGAGGCTTCTGTGTGTGAGCTGAGAGACTTGTGCCGCTGTTCTTGACAGTGATACCAGGGGACATATAGTAGTTTATTAGTGGGTTGGACCTGACTAAAGTACCCCCAAAGTAATCATTGATACTTATGCACCATACAAGGCCTTACAATGGTTGTTAATACCTTGACAGCGGGGTTGATGTTACTAAAGAGTACAGCAGATTCACTCTGCAAAGGAAATTTTCACTTTGCATGTTACTTTTTCGCAGCAGTATGCCCAGAAAATGAGGTGAAAATACACCTTGCAAAGAATACCCAATCACTTGCAAGGAAAATTTTTAAAAAAATGGATTTTTGCATGCACATAATTGGATGTTTTAAAGCAGAACTCCAGGCAAATGAAATCTTAACCCTTACAGTGGGGCTACCACTGCACTGCAAAGGTTAAGGGCTCGTTTTGTCTAGGAAGCTCAAAAAACCCTACAGTGATGGTCTATCCCTCTGCATCCTCATGTCCTATACATTGTATAGAACGTGATTACTCACAGGATCTTAGACCACTGGAGTGTAGGAGGAGAAAGGGACCGGTCTAAGAACAAGCCAGGATTGGGGTTTGGATGAGTATAACTTTTTTTTAGCTCCCTAGACAAAATGAGTAGCCCCACTGCAAGGGGTAAGATTTTATATACTTGGAGTTCTGTTTTAAGTCATCAAACTTTTATCTCTTTCACTAAGCTAAGGGAAAATTCCCTTGCAAAGTGAAAATCAACTTTGCTAAGTGAACAGCCTACACTACTATAGTAAATCAGCTCTAATGTCTCAACACTTGCTACAGATCCCTGTAACCCATGTGACCTTAACTTCTTTTCGTAAACAAAGCCTGAAGTCAGTCACAGGGGACTAAGCTGACCTTGGACTTACTTATATTGCAGATGCTATAAATGATCTCTTTTGATTTGATCTGTTTGCAAGTGAATGTTCACTGAGTGTAATAAGAAAGGTAAAGATGTGTTCCCTTCAATCAACCAAGCAAGTCCCACCAAAATCCCCTTTTTTTTCCTTACACTTAATTGGGTAATCAAAGTAGCATGACCAGCAGGACCACCAAATTACAGACAACAGAATGCAGCAAGGACCGCTGCAGTACAGCAATACCTAGATAGAAAACTGAAGTATTAATAACTAAACTCCTTAAATGAGAGTCAAGGATTAATGCTCAATTTTTACAGGAGTGCGCCTTTAATTTTATAACTAAAGGAAAAAACACTGTATTGGTAACAAACATTTCCTATAGTTGGTGTAACTTTCCGACCTGTGCAATACAATCATGTGTACGAGTACTTGTGATTACAATTCTGTAGCTATGATTTTAGACACAAAACCTTCACTAAGAAATAAAAAGGCAGAGAAACAGTGGAAAAGGTGCCAACGTTTAAAAACTCCATACCTTTCTTTACTTGGCTTCGTATTAATGTCTGAAACAATGTATATATCTGCAAATTTGATGCGGAATTTACTCAGAAGTGATGCCATCCTGCAGAAATAAATAACAAAATATGAGTGTAGTGTTACCATAGTTCTTCAAGTGGAACTACAACCTCCTATCACTTACAGTCAAGGAAGGTGCCATCTTAGCCTCTATTTGGATGTGATCGGCTATGTCACCAGCCATCTGAGGGCTTGAAAGTTTTTGTTTAAGAGTTGAAATAAGCACACTGGCAACCTTGACAGTTGGTTGCCTTAAAAGTAACAGCTTTGGAGACCATTAAATTGGAGGGTAAAGTTCCTCTTTCAGAGGTAAATGTAACCATCCATCTTTCTTTAGGTAGCATAGTATATAGATTAACTATCATTTGAATAAAAGGGTGACTGTAGATCCTAGTGAGAAGGTATATATTAAAGAATGTAAAAGACGTATACTATTGATGTTCTCCCTCTGTAAATAAATGTTGTTTACGGAATTTATAAAAACTGGAACAGACAGAATCTGGAGCATGTGCCCAGGGCAATCGTTAAGCTTCTCTCTTCAGTTTGTTCAGTTAAGCTTTGAAAATAAAATATAGACGCTGATTGGTTGCCATGGGCAACTGCTCTAGATTCTGTCTATTCCACTTTTGATAAATTCCCCTCAATGTCTGCATTTGATAGAAATGTGAAAACATGCGTAATTACATTAGTTTTTCATCTTCAATACGATTCACTTTTCCTCCAATAAAAATTCTCAGTTTACAGTCCTTCCATTTCTTTCTGAGGGTCAGAATATGTGGAATAAGAAGAGTCAAACCTGCAAAAAAACGCATTATTAATAGTCTTAAATGTCAATTATACATCCAGGGCCGTCTTTAACGCAGGGCAAAAGGGGCAGTTGCCCCGGGCCCAGTCACTGTTGTGGGGCCCAAAGCAGCTGCCCCTTGAGCCCGCAAAAGATACACACGTGTCACCGTTCTGTTTACTATGCGATCCGCATTGCATAGTGTTGCTTTGCCCCTGCCGTATGCTGCATAGCGCGACTGCGTGATGTGCCGTGCGGGGTGACGTCCCCCTATGACATCTCCTCCTATCAACTATTTTGGAGAGCGAAAGTGCATGGCGGGGGGGCCCAAGAAAATGTTTGCCCAGGGTCCAATCAATATTAAAGACGGCCCTGTATACATCAAGTACATATCAGTAGGGATTTTATTACAGGCATTTACAGTATATAATGCTGACAATTTACGCAGTGTATTATATACGGTATACTCGCATTCTTAGTCCCTGTTCACACCTTCACAATCTGGGAACGCGTGTCGCATTCGAGCACATGCGCTTGTGTACATTTTTTTCCACGTTTGTTGTGGGAAAGCAACCCATGTAGCAGATTCTGCTCCAGATGTACTGCATTTTTCAACACATTTAACACGCGTCAATTTATGGAAAAAAACATGTTTCCATGGCCGCATTTGGGGGGCCATTAACAAGTATTGGCACTGCAAGTGCATCGGACATATTTGATGCATTCCGTGAACGTTCGTCAATGTGTACGACAGGCGTACATTCACGGTATGCAAAGTTGTGAACAGGTACTTAAAGTTACAGTAAACTCAGGAGTTGATTCCTGTAAAAGTGCAGGTCCGGTAAAAATGATGTCCTACAATCTCAATACAAATTAGTAAACTGAACGTGGGATTGTAGTCCATCACTGGAAGGGAGCTTGGAGCGTGGCTACTTTACAATGCATTTTTAAGATTTAGCATTTAGTGTCACTTTAGGGCAGGGGTCTCAAACCTCCGGCCCTCCAGTTGTGGTGAAACTACAAATTCCATGATGCATCTCTCTTTGGGAGTCATGTCTGTGGCTGTGAGAATCTTGCAATGCCTCATGGGATTTGTAGTTCCACCACAGCTGGAGGGCCGGAGGTTTGAGACCCCTTCTTTAGGGGCTTACAAGAGCTTTTCACCTATACACAACCACACAAGTGTCTAAACAGACTTCTGATATTTCCCTTTTACAATAGAAAAAGAGATTGAGGAAAGAATCCTCAATCTCTTTTTCTACAGCCCCAACACTGAATGAACAGGAATCCTGTATACATTACTGAGTGTTCCTGTTCATTCATAAATTGTCGATATAGTATGATTTACTAAGTACAAAATCATGAATGAATAGGAAGTGATGTAGATCACTTCCTATTCATTCATAACTGATACATACGGGTCTATCCACTAAGCTGCCGTAGGCAGCCGAGTGAATGACTGACCTGAAGTGAAGTGAGCCAAACTCACTTCAGGCTGGTACGGCTGATTTCAGCGGTATATCGGCTGAAATCAGCCGTACATCGGCTTGCTTCGCATAGCTTCGGGTTGGCCGAACATGCACAGCATCTCATCCCAGGAGAGAAACACTGCTTTTTCTTTTTTGTCTGGCTGCTCTGCTGCCGTCAAAAAAAAACTCTCCCGGGCGCTCTGGGAGCCTTCCGCTCCCGGCCGCCCAGGAGAGAAAAACACTGCTTTTTCTTCTTTTTTTAATTTATTCTGACACGGCTCCGTGTCAGAATAAAAAAAAAATATATATTTTTTTTGCCCATTGGAATGCATTGCTAGATTGCTATTGGCTATTTCAATTTGCAATAGCCAATAGTGAACTAGCATTGTACCCGCCCTCTGCCGATGGACCTGATGGAGAACTGCAGTAGAGGGAGGGTACAATGCTAGTTTACTATTGGCTATTGCAAATTGAAATAGCCAATAGGAATCTAGCAATGCATTCCAATGGGCAAAACATTATTCATTCATTTTTTTCTATTCTGACACAGCTCCGTGTCAGAATAATAAAAAAAAAAAATATATATTTTTTTTTTTTATTATTCTGACACGGAGCCGTGTCAGAATAAAAAAAAAATATATATTTTTTTTTTTTATTATTCTGACACGGAGCCGTGTCAGAATAAATTAAAAAAAGAAGAAAAAGCAGTGTTTTTCTCTCCTGGGCGGCCGGGAGCGGGAGACTCCCCGAGCGCCAGGGAGAGTTTGCTGTTTGGAGATCAGTGTCCCTGGTTAGCAGGTAACCATTGACGCTGATCTCTCTGCAAGTGGCTGGAGCCAGCCTTCGGCTTTCAGCGCGGCTCAGTCGAGCTGAGGCATATGCGTTCGGCTCGGCTGAGCCGCTCGGCCACGTTTGGGAGCTGTACGGGCTAAAGTGAATAGCCCATACAGCACCCCTTCGGTTCTACTGAACTGAAGGGGTCCTGGGGCCGAAGCTAGCCGAACGTTCGGCCGAAGCTATGGCTAGATCCTTCGGCAGCTTCGTGAATAGACCCCATAGTAACTCATACTAAGTCCAGTTATGTACAAACATTCAGCGATCACTGATCGCTAAGTGCTTGTATACCGCACTCCATCCTTGATTGGCTTTCACAGGCTGCAGAGCATGCGGTGCGGGAGGAGAGCTCGGTCTCATTTGACAGCTGACTCCTCCCCCTCACCTGTTTCTTGGCCTCTTGTGACAGCTGACAGCTCTCTCCGGCCACACACCACTCTCCTGATCTGTTACAGGATGCTGAGCGGGGTGGTGCTGAAGGAGAACTCCTCCTGTGACACGTTCACATCGCTCTCCTCCCTGCCCTGCTTGGCCTCCTGACAGTTTCTCTCCTCCACGCTGGATGCTGCGCTGTGCCAGAGCGGTGCACAGCAGGGAGGAGAGAAACCACTGATGCACCGCAATTTTTGCCGAAAGATGGCAATTTTGGCATCTTGCCCAAAGTGCCACTTTTGGCTGATATGTTTTGACGGGCGAAATTTCGGTGCATCCCTATGCGATATAGAATTTTTTTATTTTCTTTTGTGATTTTGAAAACTGGCTAAACACATTCTTCTATGTTTTATTAATAGCATCACAAAAATATTGTTTTTCTTTTCAACACTTTCCACAGCACTACAAATTTCAACTAGTAGAATGTTGTGTGGATGGATTTAGAATATGGCTGCATTGTATAGTTTTATAGTAATGAAGAACCTGTTGTTGTAGATCCATTTGCTCACACCCGTTTTCCAGAGCTTTTTTTTATTACTATTGCTGCATGTGTCTCACATTTTAACCAATCCCAACTATTACTGGGAGAAACATACAAGCTGCTCTGACCAGTGGCGAATGGCTTGCTATATGTGGAGACACTGAGCTTGATTTACTAAAGGAATAGAGACTGTTCACTTAGCAAAATGTATGTTCTCTAAGCTCAGCAAATAAAATGAAATGATGTTCAATTCAATCAACAAATGATGCATTAGTAGAAATCCTGGTTTTCTTTATTCCCACCTGATTGGGTGTTCAGAGTAAATTGCCTCTTCATTAGTAAATCAATCCCATAGTCTGATTACACTGCTATGCTGCAATGAGCTGTCTTCGACACATTGCACACCAGGAAAAATAGATTGCTATCTTTGACTACTAGAACGATCTTATGGGTACTTAGTGTCCAGGTGCCCCATTTAAAGAGCAATTGTGATGATGGTGACCTAGTGGGGAGGCAATTATTTATGATATATGTTTTTGTATTGTTCTTTAAATACTGCATACCAGCCTTTTGTATGTATGTTTTCTTGACATTTAACAGTCACAATAGGTATTGTTTCTATTGATGTTCAATGTAAACTGACTCTTAATCTTCAGTAAATCAATCCCATATTCTGACCACACCAGTTTTGTCCCATATTATTAGATATCTGACCTAAGTAACATGATTTGTTGTGTTGGCATATATACCGTTTTTAATTTTAGAGAACCTTAGTTTGCTAACAGACCCCCATAGACTACAATCTCATGTTTAGTTTACTAATTTTTATTGAGATTGTAGTCCATCACAGAAGTGAGCTTGGAGCGGTGGCTACAACACACACAGGGACTTGTATTAGTGGCAGGATCACCGGGTGAAAAAAAATAAAAGAAATATGAAATATAAAAATGAATGCATCCACTAAGTCTAAGGACTCATAAGCTGCAATATATTACATTTTTTCTCTTAGTTTTAGATACACTATAGGTTAGCACTCACAATTTTAGACATTATAGTTATATTAACAAAGTCCAATTCACCGTCAAAAACACAGTAAGCTACAGAAAAAAAAGAGGCATAACATTTTTTTATATGTCTAAACTGTATCTAAACCCCTCAGAAAGTTAATATACTGCAGCTTACCAGTCTTTAGATCTGGTGGCTGGATTAGTTTTCTTTTTTACTTTATTTTCACCTGGTAATTCTGCGATTTACATGCCTTCTGTCCTTCAGCCCCCCAAGATATCTATGGAGGGAGCCATGGTTCTCACCCAGGCTGAACATCAAACATGTTTACCTTTGTTTGTGTGCATTACATGGAGGTGGGAAGATTAGTAGTTTACTTAAGAAAAATAACGTTTTATATTTTGCGTTTAACTCACAGCAGGTGAGATATTTCTAATAAGATCAACAGATATTGTCTGTACTAATTTTCTGAAAAATAGAAAAATAAGGCAGCTACCACATCTAAGGACTGGTCAGCTGCAATATATGAAATACTTGTTCTTGGGTTTCATTATCCTTTAAGTTATAGAATTAAGTTCTGCTCCTCGGAAGGCCTGTGATATTCCTTTTATAGGAGCCAGGCACCCTATACTGAAGTTAGATTGACTATCTTTTAGAGTATCAGCAACATGTTCAATTACAATAAATTAGTTAGCATTGATTAATTCTAAGAATGTAGTCACAATATTAGAGCTTAAAATGTTATAGTATGTCACATTCTGTGTGCCTCAGAACACGACACTGGGACATTCTGCATAGTTTTATGTGGCAGATTGCTGTCATCTCCTGATACAAGGTACTGGTATTAATTGCCATATGCAAATGCTCTACTTAATAATGTACATGTCTTTGTTCCCTTATGTTTATCAATGCCTATTATTCTTTCTACCATGTATTCTTTGTTTAAATCAATAAAAACTTATTGAATGAAAATGTTACAGTATATCTTACCGCCATCATCAAAAAGCCACCACACATCAATTGTGCCTTTGCCTTGCCTCTTCTTAAACTGCTCACTAGCTTCTACAAGTTTTTGGTTGTATTCACCAACTGGCATTGTTGGAAGAGTGTTGACATCTGAAAAATACAGCAAAATGTACTAATGCTAAGTCTGCATAGGGAGCATATATATTAAAAGAAGGCTGCAGGCAGAAAAATGTGGGCTTGCTGCCTTAGCCTTGGTTCAAATACTTTATGATTCACTAACACAATACAAGTATGATGATCAGGAGTTCTTACTTCCTTCCGATTTTATTGGATGCATACATCTACTCCTCACTTGACAACCTACCTGTTTAACGACAGCTCAGAGGTACGATCAGCTCTCCGACCAGTCGTTATTGTACACTGTACAAGAACTTGGGTATTTACAGTATGCAAACCTAAGTAATCGACCAATCATTGAATTTCAAAGTATACGCTGTTCAATCCCCAAAGTTGGACAACACCGACCTAACCGGTCACATCAATCAGGTGCAGGCTCCAAACATACATGCAGGTGTAACACAATCCTGAAATTACAACATAGAGCTGCACATCCAACAGTTCATGGAAAAAAAAAATCTCTGATTAATCCTATCTGGTGGATCACATGAGAGGCTATAGAATTGGTGTGGGATGATTTTACCCAGTACTTGGATGGTATGAACTTTCCATAAATCTAAGTAAGTGACCGTTCGAACTTACAACCATCTCTCTGAAGGATTGGTATTGTACACTTTACCATACCATATACCACATAAGAGCTGATTTCCTCTATTCCTTGCTTAGTGATCAGATCAGTTTCCTTTAGAATGGTGTGTGTAACTACACTTTACACATGGATCTTTACCCTAAAGGAAACCTGTACAGAGATAGAGATGGGGAACTCTTTATTAAAATGGCTATCTTAGGCTTTATTACTTTCTGAATCTCTAAGCCAGAACAAGTACAGACACTCATCACTTAACGACCATGTACTGTACTTACAACTAGGTTGTTGAGCGAATTTATTCCGACCATGTACTGTACTTACAACTAGGTTGTTGAGCAATTCGCTCAACAACCTAGTTGTAAGTACAGTACATGGTCGTTAAGTGATGAGTGTCTGTACTTGTTCTGGCTTAGAGATTCAGAAAGTAATAAAGCCTAAGATAGCCATTTTAATAAAGAGTTCCCCATCTCTATCTCTGTACAGGTTTCCTTTAGGGTAAAGATCCATGTGTAAAGTGTAGTTACACACACCATTCTAAAGGAAACTGATCTGATGCCACTAAACTGGAAATGGCTGGTGCATATAAGTTTCTGCACTTTGTGCTCCTTCCAGTGCATTACTTGATAAAGGAAATCAGCAACTTCTGCTTGTGTTAAACGGTTTTGAAAGTGTTTTTAGAAGAAAAGGGTTAAAGTAAAAATAAGGATTAGAAAATTGATTAGAGTGGCCATGGAGGTCTGACATGCTTGACTGTGCCAAAACCTAGCATCTTTGGAGAAATTCAGGCTTTTAAGACAGTTGCCATGTAGGACCTCCCCCCAAATATATCATTTTACATTTAACACACTCACCTAAGAGTTTGAACAAGTAACATCTATAACTATTACAAGAGACATTCATTTCTATTATCATGGAACACCTCAGCTTGACCGAGAGCGCTCTAGAGTGTAAGGAGACCACCTGTCTGTCTACAGACTGAAAAACAAGTCCTTCCAAGGACATTCTAACAACCCATTTCAAGGACTGTTCTAAAAACATCTTTGCAAAATCAAATAGCAAGCAAACCTGTTATATAAGGAACCTAATATTACCATATAATCACTTAATGATGTCATTTTAATCAATAGTAGAGCATACAATAATTATTTTTTTCATCATTCTGTGCAAACCTTGTGTGACAGCTCAGGTAAAAGATCTTCATATTAATTTTTTAGGTGGAAATTAATTTGACTGTAACATTCCACATACACTTGCATATTAAAATGAGAACCTTGCAAAGTTTAGGAAATGTCACTTTCAATTATTTAGTAGATGGACATTTATAGCACACATTATTTAATAGTAACAATCTGCACTACCTGCGTGTGTTTTATAATTGTCTCTGTCTTTCAGCATGTTACCCACTGTTGCTAAAATGTCTCCTATATTTCAGGACAGGGAACTGCACAGCTCATCAGACAATCGGTGAAAGCACATCAGACACTTTCAGAGTATTGCCTTTGTCCAGTCCATTCTGTGACATTTAACTCTACATAAATAATGGATAAGCCATCGCACAAGCAAATGAAAATGACGGAGTGCTGACTTTTATCTTGTGGAATGCCAACATGTACAAAACACAAGTTTCCGAAATAGGAATACTACATTTTGTGCAGTACAGCGTGCTGTAGAATAAAGAGGAAAGGTCATTGTCACTTTTGTAATCCCAGTTGGTCATTGATTCTGACACTGTCTCTCATGCTGTATTGTTGCTTTAGTCTCATAGGTGTGAATCATTGATTATTTACTCATCACCTAGAGCAGTGGCACTATGGTACTAATCCTCCCAGGATGCAGAGCTACTCTCACCACTGTGGCCCAAAATGGGGCACTATTTATTCCACTGACATTAGGGATTGGACGCTATGCCTTCTATTGATACCGACGATGGGGCACTATTCCTTCCACTGAAACCAACACTGGGGCATTATTCCTCATCCAACTACTCGCATACACTGGGTCATTGTTTATTCCTACTGGCACTGGAGCATTTTTTACTACTTAGGTCTGAAGGGCAGTGAACTGGCCCTTTGTATAGAAAGTATGAGGACCACCTTCTCTAGAAAATGCATACACTTCTCCACCTGAACACTTCTCATAAGCCGAAATTTTGAAAAAATACTGTATATCTGACTCAGCTCTAGATGTAGGAGGCTGCAGATCTGAATTACTTTCAAATTTTCCTGCTCCCCAATTCTCTTTTTAGAAGCTAGTGCAAGCACTCCTAGCTAGCCGAAGGATCGGCCGAAGCTACGACCAGATCCTTCGGCAGCTTCGTGAATAGACCCACTAGTGTCATTCTAATCTGATAGCAAGCTTAAGTGTTTATAATTACTTTTATATTTACATGTTTTTACCAGCAAATCAATCTTTGCATCTGAAAAAGCTACTAACCCTACATAACAGCTTACTCTTTTTTCTGCCTATTTAAAAATGATCTATACCTGTAAATAGAAAAGCTTATTTCTCCATTTTCTTTTAGATTTAGCCTGTCTTTTTTCACAAAACCAAGATGCATATTACATAGTTACATAGTTACATAGTATTTGAGGTTGAATAAAGACACATGTCCATCAAGTCCAACCTATTGTGTGTGTGTGTGTGTAAAGATCCCCGAGTCATCTCGTTTTTAGGAGTACTTGTACCCCTGTATATTACCGCTTCAAAAGCTTCTTGTTTTTAAAAGCTCCTCCAGTCTTTCTACCATTTTTCCCCCCAGGAATGCTGCACCTCCCCCATTACACATTGTAGATTCAGAGTTGCTTTCTACGTATGGCTTTCAGAAATGTGGAGTAATACTTCACCGCACCTTCAGGGGAACAAATTACTTTTGTTCTGCAGCATCAGTTCCTTGTGACTTAGTGGGGTTGATTTACTAACCTTTTAAACACACCACGAACGTGTATACACCTCTGAAGTGTGTTCCCTCCCAGCATGATCTATGGGAGGAATCGAAACACCTTTGTAGTGTGTACACACCCAGCAGGTGTGTTGTGCAAAGCCCTGCAATGAATTGCAAGGTAATGTGGTGTAAATTAGCTCTATGTTGTGTTGCTTGCGTTGATGAATGCAGGAATGTAAATGCATGAGCTAACCATTTTTGTCTAAACTGTGAAGCAGCATTATATATGCATCATGTGCATGATTTTTCCATATATGGCATTAGTGGAAATATGCTTTTAGAGACTTTTTGGTTGATAAATACGTTTTGCTGTGTGAAAATCACACACACCTGGTGTGTGTGTGTGTTTAGGTTAGTAAATCACTCCCAGTGTCTCAGAAAGCAATTACATTGATATATGGCTTGTCACCGGGGTGCTAAGAGAGGAGATTAGTAGCGCTTGACATCTCCAACATTGCCCAACAGAGTGTAATGGTAGGGGTGATCATACCATCAAAGATTTGAGATGTATCTATCGAAAAAACTTTTATCTTCCTACAATGGATAATAAAATAATTCCCCATAAGTGTTATTTATATTTATATTACATTAATACAAAAAAACAAGTAATTGTGCAGCCACTTGACAATAACCAGGGATTTATTATCAATTGCTACATTTTCTTATAGTATTTTACACCTGTATTGCCATAATATGTAATGTTATACATTATATTTGATAGATCCATTAGTGACTATCTACAAATTATTTTGCCTGTATTAAAGGTGTGCAATGCTTAGCTCATTGACCAAGAATCTGAACGGCAATCAACCAGTCAGGCACCAATCAATTACTTTTAATTTGCCCAAGTCCTCTACCCTTTACAGTTTGGTACTTAGCTCTGAGACAGCCCATACTGAACAATAGTTGGATGGCCATTTGCCAACAGACATACTTAAAGAGGAACTTTACCCCATATCTTTAAAATAACAACAAAGACACCTTTGAGAAATTAGGGATGCACCGATACCAAGTACCATACTCGGTACAAGTACAAGTACAGATACTTTTTGAGCTCCAAGACTAGACTAGAAAAAAAATTCAAAAGTTAGGAGGCAGCTGTCATTTGTAAGGAGCACACGGAGCTCCTGGGATTTGTACATCTCTGTTTTAATGTATGATTTTTTTAATAAATATAAATAAAGGGATGCACCGATACCATTTTTGCAAGTACAAGTACTGATACATTTTATTGTCATGTGACAGTTTTTCTAAAACAAATCGACTAATGATTTCAGGACAGTGGTGGAGCGCCAGAGCCAGGTCCCAGCTGCAACCGCTGCCACCCTGGTACTTCTCATGAAAATGCCAAGTATCGGCAGTGGTATCTGAAAAGTATTAGTGCATCCCTATCAGAAATGTTTAGTAATGACAATCTACAAACACATACTTCTAGATAATTTC